GTCTGATAGGGCACACGGATTTGGAGACAGACCATCTTCCTGCAGAAACTGTTCAGATTTTTTCTTTCCCTTTTTTTCGCACAGCATTGTTGTGTAAGGATTTTTGACTTTTTTTTATTTTTGTATTTTTTTTTCCCTCTTCCTCGTAGAAGAAATCTTGGTCCTGTGCAGCAGGCTGCTTGAGTGTGTTTAGATTTAAGCTATCCCAGCAGAAAAGAGTTTCTGAAGTGCTGTGATTGTGTGATGAACATCATTTACATTGAAATCACGCTATGCAATACATGGAAGGGGAGCGGAGCAGTGGAGCGCATGTAACCACAAGATACATTCAAAGAACTATATAGAGTCACTACAAGAAAAACTGATTTTTTTTGCTTCCCTTTTTTTTAAGGGAACCTTTATAAATATGTAAATGTCATTTTTATCTGATTGGGGTTTTAAGCTACACATCTCCAGCAAGAAGGGAGTAAGGGTTGACCAACCTCTTGGGAGATTGGCATTAGTATTCCGAGTGGGCTTATGATATAAAAATGTCTTGTTAGTTGACAGCAGGGTGAAGTGGAGTTGCTAATGTACTTTACTACTTTGATGTGGAAGGAATCTCCATTGACTCAATGAAAACAAACATTATAAAAAGAATCCTATCAATTTTGTTGTTTTTAAAATCCAATGATGTGTACAGCCCTGGCCAAAAGTTTTCAGAATGACACAAATATTAATTTTCACAAAGGCTGCTGCCTCAGTTTTTATGATGGCAATTTGCATATACTCTGGAATGTTATGAAGAGTGATCAGATGAATTGCAATTAATTGCAAAGTCCCTCTTTGCCATGAAAATTAACTTAATCCCAAAAAAAAAAAACCATTTCCACGGCATTTCAGTCTTGCCACAAATGGACCAGCTGACATCATGTCAGTGATTCTCTCATTAACACAGGTGTCAGTGTTGAGAAGGACAAGGCTGGAGATCACTCTGTCATGCAGATTGAGTTAGAATAACAGACTGGAGTCTTTAAAAGGAGGGTGGTGCTTGAAATCATTGTTCTTCCTCTGTTAACCATGATTACTTGAAAGGAAACGTGCAGTCATCATTGCTTTGTACAAAAAGGGATTCACAGGCAAGGATATTACTACTACTAATATTGCAGCTAAATCACCCATTTATCAGCTCATCAAGAACGTCAAGGAAAAAGGTTTGATTGTTGTGAAGAAGGCTTCAGGGCACCCAAGAAAGTCCATCAAGCGCCAGGACTGTCTCCTAAAGTTTATTCCACTGTGGGATCGGGGCACCACCAGTGCAGAGCTTGCCCAGGAATGGCAGCAGGCAGGTGTGAGTGCATCGGCACGCACAGTGAGGCAAAGACTTTTGGAGGATGGCCTGGTGTCAAGAAGCGCAGCAAAGAAGCCACTTCTCTCCAGGAAAAACCTCAGGGACAGACTGATTTTCTGCAAAAGGCACAAAGATTGGACTGCTGAGGATTGGAGTAAAATCTATTTCTCTGGTGAATACCCTTTCCAATTATTTGGGGCATCTGGAAAAAACTTGCCTGGAGAAGAAAAGGTCCTGTCCTGTGTCATGCCAACAGTAAAGCATTCTGAGACCATTCATGTGTGGGGTTGCTTCTCAGCCAAGGGAGTGGGCCCACTCATAATTTTGTCTAAGAACACAGCCATGAATAAAGAATGGTATAAAAAAACATCCTCCAAGAGCAACTTCTCCCAACCATCGAAGAACAGTTTGGTGATGAACAATGCCTTTTCCAGCATAATGGAGCACCTTGCCGTAAGGCAAACGTGATAACTAAGTGGCTTGGGGAACAAAACATCCAACTTTTCGGTCCATTGCCAGGAAACACCCCAGACCTTAATCCCATTGAGAACTTGAGGTAAGTTCTCAAGAGGCAGGTAAACAAAAAAACTCACAAATTCTGATAAACTCTAAGCATTGATTATTCAAGAATGGGCTGCCATCAGTCAGGATGTGGCCCAGAAGTTGATTGACAGCATGCCAGGGTGAATTGCAAAGGTCCTGAAAAAGAAGGGTCAACACAGCAAATATTGATTCTTTGCATAAACTTAATGTAATTGTCAATAAAAGCCTTTGACACTTATGAAATGCTTGTAATTATACTTCAGTATAGCATAGTAACATCTAACAAAAAGGTCTAAAAACACTGAAGTGGCAGACTTTGTAAAAATTAATATTTGTGTCATTCTCAAAACTTTTGGCCACGGCTGTAGCTCTCAGGGCACATCTCTGGCAAATAAAAAAATGGAGTTAAAAAGGTTCTTCACCCTGTTTGCAAAAAAACAAAATAAAAGTTAGAAACTACAAATACTGTAGCTGCTGATTTTTAATAAAAGGACATTTATCTGTCCAAGGATCTAGCATTGTCCACACCGTGGCCAGTTCTTCGATGGTCTTTGGGCCCCTGATGCCAGCATGTTAACTGTGGGAAGCTGACTGTTACTCCTTGCAGTTTCACTGCCGGCTTCCCACTGCACATGTGCAAGCCGCACTGCGCTTTGAGAACCTGCGATGTGTCCCAGAAAGTTGTGGGCAGGGAGAAGCGGTGGTAGAACTTCCGGTGGAATCTCCTAGTGGATTCAGATTGGAAGTTAGAGTGGGTACCTGGCAAAAACAGGTACCTGCCCCTGCTAAAAAAAAAAAAAAGTTCCAAAAAACGAAGAGGAGGACATAAATCAAAACTTCCCCTTTAGGGTGAAGTTCCACTTTAAATTACCATTAAAGGCTCTTGTATGACAGTCTAAAAGACTCTCCAATCCAATTCCTACATGATGAACATGCCTCATAAAATAAACAACAAGCATTCTTTACCTTCCCTGACTTAACCAGTTCCTCCTTCATTTATGTCTCAAACGCTCTCCCTCTCAAGATACTGCAGCTCACAGTGGGGTTTCAGTAACAGAGACAGTGCTGTCAATCTAGAAAGCTGTGGGCAGGATTAGGTGTGGCCAGGATTGACAAGATGTAGACTTCTTTTTATTCAGCAGTAAAAATACTGATAGCTACATCCCTGCAACATCTTCTCACCCCACTGTAGTGTTAGCAGGCACAGCCTACAAAAAGGTAACAACACTGTTCTGAATTGAGAAGCAGTGCAGCATTGTTGCCACCTACCACAGAAAGCTACATTAGATGGACTTCACTGCCGCGATCAACAGGTATGTGTGGGACTTTGCAGGGAGAAAACCGCAGATGTACTTTTAAATACATGCTGCAGCATATTGTTTTTAATGGGAGGCTATAGTTCTGCTTTAATATGTATCTAAAACCCCCCCCCAAAAATTTAATATATTGCAACTTACTATTCCTTAGATGTGGTGGCTGCATTAGTTTTCTTTTATAGGCTCTTTTCCTTTATTTTCACCATCCAGCCAGTAACACAAATCCTGTCTTATGGTGGCTGCTTTATCTATGGAGGAGAAACACAGACAGCATTGGACAGCAGCATTGTCTGGAGAGGGTGTTGTTAGATGGACCAATAGATTTAGATGGACTTTACATAAGTGACTAACATATTAAAACCTAATTCCATCTAACATTTTTTAAGCAGTTATGACTCAGTTACACCTGTGGCAATCTTTGAAAAGCAATCCAAAGTGGATGGCTTTTCAGAGAGCAATACAGGAGTGGCTGACAGCCAAATGGGGTTTGTGAATGGCAACTGAACTTCAATGGAAATGCTGCAGAAAAGCATGTAGTGCGTTTTTTGCTGCATTTTTGATACATTTTGTGTTTTAAACCTGCCAAGCAACAACCAAAATTTTAAAAAATGGAGAAAAAAAAAAAAACCCTGCAAACCGTATCAAAAACATAGCAAAAACGCAGCAAAAATGCAGGGGCAAAAACGCAATGCAAAACGCAGTGCAGAAACGGGTCAAACACAACCTGCATAGATGTGAACTTAGCCTTAAAGCTATTATTTTAAAATTGACATATAATTGTTTTTTTATGTTACTCACACTTTCACTTACTTTCATTTTTGCGTTGCATATTATGGCAAAATAGGAGAATCAGAAAGTCGTAGATGCGGGTGAAGCATGCCTTTTAGAAGAAAAGTTGAAATCTCCACTTATGTTTTATATCTTTAGATGTGACATCACTTGTACATTTTTTTATCATTCATTCAGTCCATTTGTGGGCAGTCTATGCATTATCAGAGGTACAATAATATCTATGTGCAGGTTGAGGAGGCCACGAGGGGTAGGAGGCACTGGTTACTGTGTCAAAACAATTATGCTTGTAGATAAATGTGATGTGAATGTACAATATATATGTAAAGCGCTGCGTAAATTGATGGCGTTCTATAAGTACCTGAAATAATAATAATAATAGATATAACGGACCACAATTTAATCTAATTATTTAATAATTGAAAATTAAGGGTACCTCAGCCTGCCTTTGTACTAGTTACCTGTAATTCAGAGTGACGGCACTGTAGGCCAATCAGGCTGAATGACATGGCTTAATGACAATAAATGGAGCTTGCTGATTGCAGGAGAGAGAGCATAGATAACCTCAGAGGCGTCCCTAGGGTTGGTGTCACCCCTCCAAAGAGGAAGGAGTGGTGCCGGTGTAGCGGTAAAAGGAGTAGCCCGTAAAGATATGTATCCCCTGAAGCAACTGCGCATGTGCTTGTTTTAAGGCTGAAGAAGTCGATCTCCAACTTTATTACAGAGCTGCCACAATTAACCTCTTACAGGCTGCAAACTGCTGAAGCTGATCCAGCGGATCACTATGGGTTGTAAGATCAGTTAACCCCGTATAGGTTGAACCAGGGGCAGACTGACCATTTGGAAACTCTGCACTGCCCGAGGGCCCGGGGTCAGTAGGGGGTCTCATGAGATGCCCCTGGTACCTTCTTCATAGGCTTTTTTGAGTTTGGGCAAGGACACAGGGGCCCCATGATCCCCTATTGCCCGGGGGCCCCATGAGTTGTCAGTCTTGGGTTGAACCGCCTCCTTAGGGACGTCACTGGATGACTTCATCAGTGAGCTCCTGCACTTTCGCTTCAATACGTACAGTCTGGAGCAGTGGTTGTCAACGTATGAGTTAAAGGGGTTCTTAAATGTGGCCCCTGACATCACCAAAGGGCCATACCAGGGGTGGACTGACCATTTGGAAACTCGGGCACTGCCCGAGGGCCCGGGGTCAGTAGAGGGGCCCATGAGATGCCCCTGGTACCCTTTTCATAGGCTTTTTTGAGTTTGGGCAAGGACACAGGGGCCCCATGATCCCCTATTGCCCGGGGGCCCCATGAGTTGTCAGTCCGCCCCTGGGCCATACATAGTGTTTGATTTATGTAATGCTTGAGAGAACTGTCAGAAACTGCAGACCTAATAGAGGAAATGAGGGTCAGAGAGTGTGGACATGTTACATTTTTGGCTGAAGATTTGCTGTAGAAGACAGTACAAAACTGGGAACATGTTACATGAAGCTAGTAGAGATCAATGATACAATGATATTACCCTAATCAACATTGCCACCACCGACTGCTGAGGTCTGAGGGTCGCATGTCATATTCCAAAGGGCCATATGCGGCGGCCCTCAAGCTGCAGGTTGGGCACCAGAGGTCTGGAGGAAAGTAGAGAAAGGGGAGACATGACCTTTAAATAAATCAAGGGGGTGAATAAGCTTCATGAGGGCTGTATTTTCATTATCAAGACAAGATCAAGAACACGAGGACATGTTCAAAACTAATCTTAGAAAGCGACAGTTACCAAAAGAGTAGTTGATGCTTGGCATAGTGAGTCAGTCAACAGTAGATTCAAAATGCTTGGGAAAAATATAGCTCTATACAAATATATATAAATTTAACAAAAGGGGGGAGGAGCAGACTTGATGGACCACTTGGTCTTTTTTCTGCAGTCACTTTTCTATGTTTCACTCTCCAATCATCACAGCTCTGTCTACTGCTTTGACCTTAGGGGAGAATGGTATATGGTCAGTGGCTTGTCTGGAGTCTGGTAGGGGTGTCCAGTTTAAAGACCTGGTTGACCCTATTTGTTACCAGAAACACAGATCACAAATACCTATTGCTGCTATGTCTTTAGTTTATCTACATACACTTTAAGTCAGCTTTGGCTATAACTTTCTTTGTTGCAAGACGAATCTGCTGTGACTCAAAGAGAAAACCTAATTTAATATTAACTTTGCCATGTAAAATCCAGTGATCTGTAGCTCAAAGGTCACCCTGATATCGGTTCAAGATGAAGTCACTCAGGTGTCCTTTGATGTTGACTTCCTTTCAAGCAAGAGATTCCCCCGGTGACTATATTAAAAAAAAAAACTTGATTTACTATGAATTTTGTAGCTTTTAAAATCCGGTGATCTCTAGCTTTTGTGTCAATTATTAAAACGGCTGACCTAACCTCTGTCAAGGAGGCCGGCCCTATCCTTGTGTTCTTTGATACATTTAGTCCGTCTTTAAAATGACTCATTATACTGACCATTGTCTAAGGAATTCCACATTGTCTTGATAGGTCCGGGCTCCGAGTGTGCCTTTAGTCAGCCAAGTCAAGTCCCTTGACAGCTGTGTGGTTGTGCCCCTTTTCGCCACTGTAATCTTAAAATCTTACACAAGTCTTGTGTTATGACTAGAAGTGGAAGATGCTCTCCTCAGGGGGGTTGAATGTATATCAAGAGCCATTAACTTTGCATTTTAATAACTTTGGCAGTGGTAATTGCTCCCGTGTGATTCATTAAAGTTTTTAATGATGCAACATTTGATAGCTAACCATAGTGTACTAATTTGCACCGAGGGAGATGCTGTGCAATGAGGATGCAAGTCATTTGATGTGGATTTTTTAACATTGTAAAATACAATAATCTAGCCTGGTAATACCTTGGGAAGAGCATACAGCAGATGAACTGCATGTGATTAAATGATGGACAGGGTTACAGGCTTGCTGGAATTGTTACACATTACCTTTGGCTGGTAAGGGTAACGTTATGTTTAAAACTCCAGCTGTTGTATCAAGGTGTTCAGGTGAAGGGTCACACATTGGGGTGGATTTACTAAAGGCAAATAGCCCACGCAGTCTGAAAATGTAAATGCTCATGAGCTTAGTAAATGAGACGAAGCTTATCTTTGCAAATAATACCCAATCACATGCAAGGAAAAAGAAAAAAACAAACAAACAGCATTTTTGCTTGCACATGATTGGATGATGGATGTCATCAAAGCTTCCTCTCATTTACTAAGCCGTGGAGAAACTGCACTTGCAAAGTGCATAGTCTACTTGCCTGTAGTAAATCCAACCAATTGCTGCCTAATATAATATTTGTCATACTCTTCAGGCCATCATATGATTTACCAACCTTGGTCATATAGCCTATTTCCTATCTTAGCTTTACAGACTTCTATGTCAACTGTTTGCTAGTTGCTCGTTGTTGGATAAAGCACATTTAAAGACAAAAGTAAGGTATAGGAATAAGGTATAGATGTAGTATGGTAGGATTAAAGTGGTTGAAAACCCTTACATATACCCATTGAATTGACTAGCCTCAGGGAATACACAGAAAAGAAACAAATCCTCCTACATAGGTTATACCCGTTTATCTTCAGTGTCCGCTTCTCTATGTTAAAAGTGCTGAATTTATAAAGCTAGTCTGAGGGTTCAGAAAAAAAGGGGCAATGAGTTGAAGTTACACTCTGCAGGGCTTTATTGAGGAGAGCTCTGAGAACTGATTGGAAGGAAGGAACACACCCCCTTCATACAGCACACAGGAACAGAGCAGAGGCTGTCAATCTGCTGGAGCTCCCTCCCTTGTCACCATTTTTCTCTTGGTGTCAAGAAAACTTGTTAGAAGTGATTAATGCTGACAACAGAGGAACAAGGCAGCAAACAGAAATGACAGATTGAGACAAGAACACACTTTAGAGGGATATGCTTTGTTCATATTTCATGTCTGAGGTTAACAACTACTTTAAGACATCTAATATGTTTTTTGGTGCAGTGTGTGTGTTAAAGAGATTTCCCCTCCCTTCATACCTTGGAAACAGTAGGAAGTAACATAAAAGCTCTATATAGGAAGGAAAATTCCCATTTTACACACATTTGTCACCAGGTGTCCTTATTGGAAGATTTACTGCTCCTCCTGTCATGGTGGCAACTGTAATGGTTTGAATTTCTCATGATATTTTGTTCCAATGACAGTGGTCACCAGGACAAATTAGGTGGGGGAATTGCCCCATTGCGGATAGCAATAAAACCTGAGGAGGGGGGGGGGTAGCCTTTTCATTGTATTTGAATCTTTTAAATAGTTTTGCTATAGAGACATATAAACAATCATGTTTTGCTCTAACTGCACTTCTCAGCTGCCCAATGACCTGTTGCAGTGCCAAAGAAGAGCTATTATGTCTTGGAATGAGGCACAGATGACCCTCCTAACTGTCATGACAATTCAGCGCTCAGTGGCTGCCATTCACTAGACTGAGTTCTTTCACTTGGGGGCATGCTTAACTCTATGCAAAACAAACTTTCAGACAGGAATTGCAGGACAAACAGATGGGGCGATGGGAAAGCATTGTCACAGCAGATACTATATGACAGTTTTAAACCATGTGGGTGGAGCACAGTGCTAGTAGAAGGTTGGGATTAAACCCATCTCTGGACAAAAGCAATCCATCCCTCAATGGCCACCACCATTTTTACTTATTGATACATTTTCATGCAACCCCATTGTGGTTCCTCTTTGACAGTGGAGACTTGTGTTCCACTGCTGCAGTTCAGACCTGCTGCTGAAGTGTCTGGTCACCGTCCCTAATTGTGATGTCACACCATTGAGGTTCGGGAGCCCATCAGTACCTTCTTATAGCTATTGGGATGTGTTCATATCACCAAGGAGCAACATGGCCATTCAAAGAAGGACCCTCACCTCAGCAGTGCAAAGGACAGAAGGCCAGGACCCAGCATGTCCAGTGGCTACATATTCCCATAGAAGTAAGTAATTTGGGAACATAGTTTAGTTTTTTAAAACAATCAGATTGAGGATTAGTTAGAGGGGGTGGAGTGGGTAAAGTTTAGTGGGAGGTACCCTAGCTGGAGATTGTCACCAAGGTTTTGTCCTGTCATCAGCTTATATGCAAACAATGCTTTGACTACCATGGACACATTACATTTGTACCTTCTTCTTGTTGACCAATGACATATATTTTATATATTTTATTATATGTCATAGCAATGAAAGACTAAAAGAAACCTCCTCCTACGATACCGAACCTCCAGTGTTTTTACGTCCACAATGGAAGCTGGGAAAAAAGGAAAAAATATTCTTGTGTCAAAAGATCTCCTTTTGGCTGTGAAAGGCTGGCCAAAGGAAATCTTGAAACTGGAAATTTACTTGAATTTGCATTAAAATTCAGGATGCACTTTGTTTTTACCATAGGTATGCTATACCCTTGCAGGTCTCCCTAAGTCCAGCATTGACATAATTACCTAACATTGTAAGAGGTGCACACATTTTAAGTTCACTATAGGTACACCTCTTGTGATTTCTAAAGTTTAGGGTAGAGTTAGATTAGGGTTAGATTATTATTTCTGTCGCCATTAGGACGATATATTCTTACTCCCTGGCTCAGTAAAAGAAGGCATTTTCAGTAATTGTCATTAAAACAGCAGGTAAAAGAAAATATCCCACTGAGAACACCTATCAATGGTAGGAATTTCATTTTACTCTTGGGAGACTTCTGCCTCTGTAACAGGATATGATGGAACATCCTAGCAACAGGGATCTATAAAGTAATAAAGATTAGACAGAGGACCCTTCTTCACAATATATAGAATAAAAAAATAATAATTATATTTTTAAGTAAATATATGCCCAGGCATTACTCAAATGTATCAAATGGAGCATGACTTAGAATTATTTTTTTCTCTAACAAGATATATATATATAAACATATATATATATATATATATATATATATATAAAATCTAGAAATCTAGAGAAAGAGAGAGAGTGAGAATATATGAACCAATCAGCCATAACTTCACCTAATATTGAGTAGGTCCCCTTTTGCCTCCAAAACAGCCCTGGCCAATCATGGCCACTAGTAG